CAGGGCAGGAGGGCAGGAGGGGGATGCGGGCCTGAGGAGAAGGGGGGGCTGCCACACAGTATGACTGGGCGGCCCCTTCTTCCCCTCACTGCCCAGCCAGGGCTGTGCCTAATCGAATGCCTCTCCTGCCCTCCCTGCTGGCCTGACAGACCCCCACACCCTTCCTGGCCCCGCGTGGGGCTGGGCCTGCAGTCTTTGGGGGCCGCAGGGCCCTGAGAAGGAGTCTGTGCCCAGGGGAGGAGGCGGGGACCACGTGGGGACCCGCAGAGCAGGGTCTGGTGGTCAGAGGAGCCCAGCTTGTGTGGGAACAGGGAGATGGGGTCGAGGTTGCAGAGACGAGGCTGGTGGCCCTGCTGGTCAGGATGGCCTCTCCCTCACCCCAGGAGGAGGGCAGAGGTGGGGGAGGCCCTGGGGTGGCCCTGAGCACCCCAGCCAGATGGCCAGACCAGCTCCTCTGGGTGCGTGGCATGAACTGGGTGGATTGGGAGGGGACGCTGGGGCAGTGGGTGGGAAGGCAGAAATGGGGACCTTGGTCTGGGGGCCCTAGAGCACCCCTGCTGGGCTCTGCAGTGGGACTGCCAGGCCCAGGGGCACGGGAAGCTCTGGAGGACCCTGCCCAGGGCATCTGGAGAGGCCAGTGGGAGGTGGAACAACCCAGGTGCCCTGGCCCCCGAGTGGCTCTGGTCGAGCTCAGGGGTTTGGGTGAGCAGCCGGAGGGGGAGGGGGGGAGGCGGGGAGACAGGTGTGTGGGCTGGTGGGGAGGCAGCAGGGGCTCCGGAAGGTCTGACGGCCTAAGCTGAGCCTCCCGCAGCCTCCCCATCACCCACTCCTCGGTTTCTCCTGGATGGTGGGCAGCCCACCCGCGTGGCGGGGCTGCGGCAGGGGCCGTCTAAGTCATCGCGTTGCGTGCGTCATGACTGGGTATATTTACTCTTGGGTGGCAAGAAGGCACTATGGTTATGGGTCACCCCAGTTCCCAGGAAGGCCGGGCCCCGTCTGCTCCCCGTCCCCAGCTCTGCCCCGCTCGCTCCCTGGGGTCAACCATGCTCCCCTCCGTGACCCTGGCCTCGCTCTGACGGCGGCCAAACGCTGCTGGGCACAGGGGTCCTGCCTTTCTGGGTGCAGCTTGCAAGGTGGTGGGGGACCCGGAGGCAGGGGATGAGTTCTGAGTTCACGCTGCTGACTGTAGGGGCGTTTAAGCCTCCCTGCGTCCTCTCTGTGAGATGAGGACTCCCCCCCGCCCCCCCCCAGTGGGAATGAGGAAGAGATGGGTGGGCACCCGGGAAGGCACAGAAAGTGAAAGCTGCTGTGATGGTGACATCACCCCGTTTGGAGCAGGGAGAAGCAGGCAGCCCCAATCTCACCACGTGGGTGGCTCTCCAAAGTCCTCCCCCCTAGAGTGGGAGGGGGGCTCTGGTGTCTGTAGACTGAGTCCCACAGCCAGGATAGGGGGGCTCTGCTTGCCTCGTGGTTCCATGTTTGCTCACAGGGTCCCTCTGGGACCCCACAGCCAGACAAGACAGAGAAGAGCTGGGCAAGATGGAGGGTGTGCCGGGCTGGGCCTCTGCCTCAGCCAGCCTTCGCTGCTACGCGCCCCTCTGGACCTCGGTCCGTGCTCCGTGCCATGGGACCGAAGCCATGCTGTCTCTTCCCAGGCCCCGGGATCCAGGGTGCATGCTCTGCAGCCCCTGCCCAGAGGGTGGGCTGTCAAGGAAGCTTTGCAAGTGAAGGGAGGCCCCTCCAGCTGGGAGGCAGGCGGTGGTGGTCCCTGCCTGGTGGTGCTGGGGGGGGGTGGTGGTGGTGGTGGTGGTGGTGGTGGTGGGGACGGGGGAGCTGTGGGTGCTGAGAAACCTGTGTCCAGGGAGGGAGCTGAGCTGGTGCCCACGAGGGCCAGGAGAAGGCCAGAGCCCTGGCGGCCACACCGGGGACGACTGAGCAAGCCCACTTACTGCTGCCACACGCCTGGTGCTGCGACCTGACCCCGTCCTTCCCCTCCCCTCGCCCATCGCAGGCCTGAGGCGGGGCGATGCTGCAGACGATGACCTTCCAGGGCCTGCCTGGCCAGCAGCGGGTGCCAGGGGCCCTTGACTTCCCTGGAAGCCCCCTGAAGTTTCGCTCCGCGTCAGAGGCGGAGTCAGAGGCCTCCATGTCCGAGGCCTCCTCTGAGGACCCTGTGCCACTCCCGGAGGCTGAGGTGGCCCAGGATGAGGAGGAGGCTTCAAAGAAGAAGAAGAAGCCAAAAGGCCTGGCCGGCATGTTCAGCATCTTCACCAAAGGGAAGAAGAAGAAGGGCCAGTCCGGCGCCGCGGAGCGCGAGGGCAAGCCTGAAGCCAAGCCTGAAGCCAAGCCGGGGAGGGGGG